ATAGAATAGAATAGAATAGAATAGAATAGAATAGAATAGAATAGAATGCAGAATAGGAAATAGAATAGAAAATAAAATAAAATACTGGTAGAATAGAATAAAGAATAGGAGTAGGAATAGGAATGGAATGGCGAGTATTGGAGTGAAGAATAGAATAGAATAGAATAGAATAGAATAGAATAGAATAGAATAGAATAGAATAGAATAGAATTTAGAATAGAATAGAATTTAGAATAGAATACAGAATAGGAAATAGAATAGAACAGAGAATAGAATTGAATTGAATAGGGGATAGAATAGAATAGAAAATAATAGAAAATAGAATAGAATAGAATAACAGAGTTGGAAGGGACCTTGGAGGTCTTCTAGTCCAACCCCCTGCCTAGGCAGGAAATCCTATACCACTTCAGACCAATGGTTATCCAACATCTTCCTAAAAGCTTCCAGTGTTGGAGCATCCACCACTTCTGGAGGCAACTTGCTCCACTGATTCATTGTTCTCGCTGTCAGGAAATTCCTCCTTAGTTCTTTTTTAAGACTACGCGTTCCCCTTTCTAAACTAGAGTTAAAGCCCCTCCGTTCTTACTCCCTTTTTCTTTGGATTCTTTGCTCCGAACCGCTTCCCATCGGCCATCGCTTCCTACGGGGCTTGCCCAGATTCAAAACTGGCACTAAGAGGAGAGCTTACAAATTGACCGCACACTCGACTGCACATCCCGCCCACAATTAGGACAACCGTTGTTGTTAAAGCACTACTCTAGGAGGTGCGGATGCCGCCTCCTCCTGCCTGTTTGACAGGCACAGCTTCTCTGGGGACACCTGCTGTGCGGAATCCAAAGAGAGATCTGTGGATTTAACGGATCCGCTTGCTTGGTTACAATCCGCCTGGTGAAATTTAGCTTTGGTGGCAACTTATTGGTTATTGGCTGGAGGCGATTCGGAAAAACGGACCTGGGTTCTAATGGCCACCAATCACTTCAATGCTCAGATGCGGGCTTCAAAAATTTTAGAAGTTTTAAACTATTTAGAAAATAGGGAAATATAGATTATCATAAAAAAAGATTGGAGCGGATATTTTGTTTTGCTATTAGAATGTTTGGGTTTTTTTGTTAAACTTTATAAAGAGATAAATGGAATGAATGTGAAAAAAGGAAAACTATGATAAGTTTATTAACTATGTTTAATGAATATATAGAATATAGTTGAAGTGAATTGTGAGGGTTGTTGCAATGAGATTAATATCAGTGTTTATGATCAGCTGAATAGATTAATTTTTCTTTTTGAAATTATAAATAATTTTTATGTAATTGAAGGGGAAAGTACCATGTGGAATCTGACCTAAAAGGTATATATGTTATGTAGTTGTTAGGAGATTATTATTTTATATTATTATTATTATTATTATTATTATTATTAGCAATAATGAAAAGTGAAATGAATATTGGGATTTAAAGGGGAGGTCATAAAAGAATATATAAGCTATAGGGGTGGCACACTCAAATTAGTAATTGTGTCTGGCTTAGTTTTTGGGAAGAAAAATAAGGGGGGAAAATTGCGCTTCTGCCTACCAGCATCCATCGGTATTAATCTGGCTAGCGTCCCATCAGTATGTGAGAGATTTGAAGGCTGTTTGGAAACTGAAACAGTATTTGCTGTGTGAGAAAGAAGGAGACAGCCAGGAGCTTGGGCGTGGCTTAGCTCAACTGTTCTGTACTAAAGCTGCTTGGTGCTGTGAAAGTAAAACTGAAACTGAAATTCCTCTGCTTGTGTTTTGCCTTTGGAAGAGATTTCTTTTCAGGTGGGAAGGTGGAGTAGAACTCCTTAGCATCAGAGCGTGTTAATAATAATAATACTAAAGGAAATACTCTAAATGCTCTGATGGTCATTTGGAAAAATCCTTTCTTAGAGAGCTCCTAGAAGCCAAGAGGAACATATATACGTGCTAAATTTCAAGTTTGTAGGCTTTACGGTTATGGAGATTTTGTGATGATGCGTGAGGGGCATTTCGCTTCTATATATATAGTAGATTGGGGTCCTTGATACTTTCTGAGGTTGTTTGTTTGCTTGCAGACGTCTCATTACCCAACTAGATAACATTATCAGTGCTAGAGGGAGTGGGGTTTTGGGAGAGGAGGAGGAGGAGGAGAACTGGGGGTTCCTTGGTGCTCTCTGAACATGGTTCTTTTCTTGCAGACATTTCATGACCCAACTACATAACAACATCAGTGCTACAAGGCTTTGTTAGGGCAAATCCCATTCCTTTCTAGCACTGATGATGTTACCTAGTTGGGTAATGAAACGTTTGCCCAAAATTTCCAAGTTCTCAGAGAGCCAAGGACCCCACAATTCAATCCTGAGATACCAATTGTCTCTTCCGATGCTACATTCATATTGCTTTGTTGTGTCAAGAATGGTTTTGACTGTCGCATGACCCGGTTGAGTTGCTTCATGGGATCCATTAAACCTTTGAAATAAACTCAATCCTGATTATCAAAATATCCTAAACTCCTTCTTTGGGCTATCGTGAAACTGATTATTTCTGGTGTTGTGGTTAAACAACGGTCCCGAACTAGGTTGAAAATATGTATTTTTTTTCCTCCTTCTTCTTCTTCTTCTTCTTTTGCTATTTCAATTCATAGATTGTGTACGATAAGAAGAAAAAAGAAGAAGGAAAACGAGCCCGGGCTGAAAAACAGCAAGTGCTGGACATGTTATTTTCTGCTTTTGAGAAACACCAGTATTACAACATCAAAGATTTGGTGGATATAACCAAACAGCCAGTGGTAAGTAAATGCTAAAAATAAAATAAAAACATGAGCTGAAACCACAAATAGCTTTATTGGGTGCAATCCCAGAAAACCTACATGAAAAATATCACAGTTTACTAAAGTATATAAGCTGACAGTTGCAAAAACAAATTATGTACAGTGTTGGAAAAGAGGAATCATAGAATTGCATAGAAACCTGGGGCTGGAAGGGACCTCAGAGGCCTTCTAGTCCAACCCCCCTGGCCAGGGCAGGAAACTTTATTCCTTCCCATTTTAGTGAATGTCCAGCCTCTTCTTGAAAGCCTCCTTGAGCAACTACAATTCATGGAGACAAGCCATTCCACTGGATTGTTCTTGCTGTCAGAAAAGTCCTCCTTGGTTCTAGGTTGCACCTCTCCTTGTTAAAGCTTAAGAGATATTTTTAAAATGTTCAATTTTCATTTGAAAAGAGGTTCGACCAAGAACTAAGGAGGGATTTTCTGACAGGGAGAACCATCCACCCATGGAACAGAAGTTGCCTTCGGAAGTTGTAGGAGCTTCATCCCTGGAGGCTTTCAAGAAGAGGCTGGACTGCCCTCGGTCAGAAATGGTCTAGGGCCTTCATGGCAAACCTATGGCGTGCATGCTTCCCACCAACCAGCTGGTGTTTGGGTCTCCAGGCCACATTGAAGGGTCCCGAGTAGCTGTTTAGGAATCCGTTGCTATATATTGAAGTGTTTCTCCGACACCTGTAAGCCGTTGCCCTGGAGAAGTGAAATCATAGATAATTTACTTTATTTTCTACACCGGCTCTCAGTCTCCCCTCTGGCAAGTCATATTCAAACTCCTTCGCCTCCTACAAACTAAGGAGCTACTAATGGTTTTGTTTCTCTGTGACAGATGTTGGTTTTGCTCCTCTCTGTAGGAAAGAAAGAAAAGAGGAAAATATTGACGCAAAGGCCGGGAATTGGCGTGGGAGGGATTTGACTGGGTAGTGTAAATTTTAATGGATTTAATTTTTAAATGGGTAGAGAAACGGAACGTTAATTTCGAAGGATAAACAGAGACAAAAACTAATAAAGTCTGCTGTCTCCTGAGTTCTCCCAATTTTCCACCTGTCTCTCTTTTGACTGACTCTTTGGAAGGACACTGTCGTGCCCCTGTCGGAGTCTGAATCCAAGGAGGAGGAAGATGAACAGCTGACATAGGGAGTGGGAGTGTGGCTCTGTTGGCTGTGGAGGAAACTGGGGAAGGGCAAAGTCCAGCTGGGCAGAGCAGAGGAAAGGGAGAACAAGGGAGAGGGGGTTCAGAGGAAGACCCAGGCCCACCCCTCCTCATCCTTGGGCACAGAGAGAGGAACGGAGAAGGGAGCAATGTGGGTGGTGTGGCTTACGGGGGAGGAAAGGGCCCTGATTCCCTTCATTAGCCACACCTGGGAAGAGAGTTTAAAAGAGATACAAGCTGAGTGCAGCGTCTGCTGGGAACAAACGTGAGTTTATATTGTGTTGACTTTGGTTATCTGTGTTCCTGGCATCTTCCCAACCGTGTTGAGGTATTGCCGTACCTTCACATCTGGAGTTCTTGCTCCTGCCCTGCCAAACTAATTACTTCAGTTTGGCTTGATTGGACCTTTAAATTACAGTTTTTGTTGACCATGTTTTGGACTTGATTCTCTGCAGCCAAAGGCTGTTCCTGGGAAGGTTTTTCTCCAGCCCAGAAGGTAACCAGGACATTGGGGGCAAAGTTGGAGCTAATAAAGGGACTCCTACGGATTGTCTGGCTGGGTTGCCTTTGCGCCACACAACGGGTCATCACAGACACAAGCCATCACTTGAGCTCCGTGAATTTTATGCCTTGTGTCATACATGTCGTCTGCAATTGAGCTCAGAATTTATGTTGCTAAGTGGGGAGGAAAAAAAAATAGGGGTTTTTGTCCCATCTTACAACTTACGACTTTTCTTGCCACGTTTGTTACGTAAATCACTGCCGTTGGGAAGTTAGTCACCCGGTCGTTAAGCAAATCCAGTTGGGAGGTCGCAAAAGAGGATAGCACGACTGCAGGACTCTGCAACTATCATAAGTACGAGTCCGTTGCCTGAATTTTGATCATGTGACCGTGGGGATAACTGCAAGGGTCGTAAGAGTGAAAAACGGACATAAGTTGCTTTTTTTTCGGTGCCATTGGAATTTCGAACGGTCAGTAAATGAGCTGGCATAAGACAAGGACTACCAGTGTGTTGGATCTACAGAACATCTTCAGAAGTTTTTAGGGTCCAGCTTTCACCCAGGAATTCACTTGAAGGCAGGGGTCTCCACCCTTGGCCCCTTTAAGACTTGTGGACTTCAACTCCCAGAATTCCTTTGCTGGCTGAGGAATTCTGGGAGTTGAAGTTCACAAATCTTAAAGGGGCCACGGTTAGCGTGATGACCCAAAGGGGCGTGGCACAAGGGCAATACAGTCACATAAGCAAGAAGTGTCCCTTTAGTTCCTCCAACTTTGCCCCCAAAGTCCAGGTTACCTTCGGCTGGAGAAAAAAACTCTCCCAGGTGGAGGAAATTCAGTCCGAAAACAAAGTACATACAAACTGTAACTAAACTGTAACTAAAAATCCACACAAACCACGCTGCAGCACTTAACTTGACAGGGCAGGAGAAGGAATTGCAGACTTGAAAGGCCAACAAAATACACACAGTTGGTAAGATGCCGGGAACCCAGATAAGCCTCGAGAAACAAAGATAACTCACGATTTGCTTCCAACAAGTTGCTGTGTGCAACCTCCCTTTTTAAACACTGTGTTCCCAGCTGCAACTAATGAAGGGAATCAGGGCCCTTTCCTCCCCCGTAAGCCATGCAACTCACATTGCTCCCTTCTCCATTCCTCCCTGCGTGCCCAAGGATGAAGAGGGTGGTGGGCCTGGGTCTTCCTCCAAACTCCCTCGTTCTCCCTCTTCCCTGCTCTGCCCAGCCAGACCTTGCCCTCCCCCAGTTTCCTCCACAGCCAACGGAGCGACACTCCGACTCCCTGTCAGCTGTTCGTCTTCCTCTTCTGAGTCAGATTCTGACGGGGCATGACAGTTGGAGACCCCTGTTTTAAGGTGTGGCTGGGGTGTCAACAATGCTTGATGCTTTCCATAGGATTATGTGAGACAAGACAAGCGGTTAGCAAAGTTGAGACCCTCTCGAGGCTAAAAAAAAAAACGTGCCTGTGGACCTACCAACCACTGGAGATATATATCTCTTTTCTGCTACAACTCTCCACAATGCACTCCTTCCTCCCTTCTGCTTGGCTTCTGGAGTTGAGAATATTCCTTGATCTGCTTTGGGCGGAGTTCATCACTTTTAAGATCTGTAGTAACCGATGAAGGATCCTAAGAACTTAGGCTGGATGAAGGCCACAGTGACTGCCGCTGAAGTGGTCTTGCCGTGGTGTAGCCTTGGGGAATGTTGGTTAGGGCCCTTGAGGGCCTCCTCAGACTTCGGTTCTCCCTCCCTGAGCTGCCTTGTCTGGGATTGCCATCCTACACCTCAGAGTTTGTGATAGGAGCCCCCAAGAGACCATCTTTCCGTGTTCTTCGGTCTTCATCATCCGTGGCCTTTGAGATCATGGATGACTCCTCCTCTACCTTCTCTTTCTCCTTCCTCCCTTCTCCTTCTCCTTCCTCCTTCCTCCCTTCTTTTCCTTCTGCTCCTCTTTCCTCCCTTTTTCTTCTCCCTCCCTTCTTCTCCTTCCTCCCTTCTTTTCCTTCTCCTCCCCCTCCTCCTTTCTTCTCCTTCCTCCTTTCTTTTCCTTCTGCTTCTCTTTCCTTCCTTCTTCTTCTCCCTCCCTTCTTCTCCTTCCTCCTTTCTTCTCCTTCTCTTCCTCCTCCCCTCCTCCCTTCTCCTCCTCCTTCCTTCCTCTCCTTCCTCCCTTCTCCTCCTTGCTTCTCTTTCCCCTTCTCCTCCTCCTCCTCCTCATTTTCCCACAACTGCAGGTGATCCTGGGTTTTTTTTGCTAAACCAACCGAGCGTTGAGCCATTAGTTGTGACAGGGACCTAAATCTACGCAAGTGATAAATACAGGTCTACATATTAAGTATATGTTTTACTCCGAGCGCACAGTTGCAGCTCCAACATCTTTAAATTGGAACGTTCCTCCTCTGGAAAATACATTTTTTTTCTAACTATAATTTTTCCTGCTTGGCGAGGCCACGCAAGTGAAATGTCCTTTAATTAATCTGTTCCTCTTAATTACTGGTTTCATCACATTGTTTCTGTCTTTCCTTTTCTTTGATAACGGCAAAAGTCTGTTTGACTGCAGAAGAAAACAGAAGTAGAGGAAACCAATCGTGGGGGGAGTGGGAGAGAGAGGGAGAAAGAGAAAGAAAAAGAGAGAGAGAAAAAGAAAGAGACGGAGACAGAAAGAGAGAAAGAAAGAAAGAAAAGAAAGAGACAGACAGAGACAGAAAAAGAGAGACAGAGAATGAGACAGACAGAAAGAGAAAGAAAGAGAGAAAGAAAGAGACAGACAGAGAGAGAAAGAAAGAAGAGAGAGAGACAGAGATAGAAAGACAGAGAGAGAGAAAGAAAGAGAAAGAGACAGAGAAAGAAAGGAGAGAGAGAGAAAAGAGAGAGAGACAGAGACAGAAAGAGAGAAAAAGAAAGAGAAAGAAAGACAGTGAGAGAGAAAGAAAGAGAGAGACAGACAGGCAGACGGAGAGAGAAAA